GCAGCGAGACTTACGCAACTTTAATACTGCTCGTATTAAAGAAGCTATCGAGCGGAACTAGGGCTCCAAAGTCTTTGCCAGAGATCTCTCTGCTAGTAAGAGCCAACTGTCAAAGCTGAAGACTGAGTATGGCAGCATCGTTTGCAGACACCTGAGATTTTGAATGAGATTGAGAGGTTCTATGGGCAGCTGTACACATCATCGTTGGTGCCACACGCAAATGTGAGTAATGACCCAAGAGCAAGTCTTATCCGACACTATTTCGATGATATCCCGGACGTCAGACTAAGCGAGATTAGAATGGCTCTCCAGCAACGTAAAAACGGCAGGGACCCAGGCGAGGGTGGAATTACAGCGGAGCTTCTGAAAGCGGGTAGAACACCGGTACTTGAAGTCCTTCAGAAGCTCTTCAATTCTGTCCTCCATGGTGGCACTACTCCAGAGGACCACATACATACCATACGGCAGATTGTACGGAAGACCGAAGAGTACAATCTGCCACTTTGCCTGGCGTATGTGGACTATGAGAAAGCCTTTGATTCTGTCGAAATTTGGACGGTGCTACAGTCCTTTCAGTGGTGCCAAGTTGACTGTCGATATATCTAAGTCCTGAAGTGTTTGTACAGTAGGGCTACGATGGCTATCCGAGTACAGAACCAGAGCTCGAAACCTATCCAACTGCAGAGAGTTGTAAGACAGGGTGACGTTATATCTCCGAAACTCTTCACCGCTGCATTGTAAGACGTTTTCAAGTTACTGGACAGGAAAGGATACGGTATTAACATCAATGGCGATTACATCACTCACCTTCGATTTGCCGACGATATAGTCCTTATGGCAGAATCGCTGGAGGACTTAAGCACTATGCTCAATGACCTCAATAGTGCCTCCCAACGGATAGGTCTTAAGATGAACATGTACAAAACAAAGATCATGTTTAATGTCCATGTCACACCTATGCCGGTAGTTCTTGGGAGCACTATGCTCGAAGTTGTTGACGAGTACGTTTACCTGGACAAATAGTCCAACTAGGTAAGTCCAACTTCGACCGAGAGGTCAATCGAAGGATTCAACTCGGCTGGGCAGCGTTCGGGAAATTACGACATATCTTCTCGTCAGGTATACCTCAATCTCTAAAAACTAGATTGTACAACCAGTGCGTGTTGCCAGTGATGACTTACGGATATGAGACGTGGTCTTTCACTGCTGGCCGTATGAGGACGCTCAAGATCGCTCAGCGAGCTATGGAGAGGGCTATGCTCGGAGTTTCTCTGCGTGATAGACTCAGAAATGAGGATATCCGCAGTAAAACCAGAGTGACCGACATAGCCCAGCGGATTATTAAGCTGAAGTGGCAATGGGCCGGCCGTGACAAACTGTTACGCAGTTTGGTGGGTGTGAACAATGTACAAAAGGTTTGGTCCAGAATAAATGATTTATTATTATTATATAGCTCGAAGAACCGATGACCGATGGTAAGAAAGGTTCTCGAGTGGCAGCCTCGTACCGGTAGGCGTAGTGTAGGGCGACCCCCCACTAGATGGAGTGACGACCTGGTAAGATATGCAGGAAGTCGATGGATGCAGGTGGCTCAGGACCGTGCTTTGTGGCATTACTTGGGGGAGGCCTATGTTCAGCAGTGGACTTGTGAAGGGCTGTAATGATGATGAATGATGATGACTATATTAAGGAATTTATGGATTGTAATAACTCCTGTGAATGAGGTGATTGTTACCAAGCTATTTCTAATTTGTTTTGTGTTGTTGATTGTGTAACATACATGATTTTACGCTGTTATTTTTACACATTTTTTTAAAGTCCTGCTGAGTTTTTTGCTGGTTCTTACCAGGACAGAGGTTTATTTGTCCGAACCAGTGGTAAAAAAGTGACCTTCAATAGGTATTATTTATAATTTATATTGATTAAAGAGTTTCTGTTGCTATTTCGGTGCCATTTAAAATCCCAATAAATTAACGCGTGAAAATTTTACAGATGAAGATCCATTTTTCATTAAAACACGTTATTTCAAAATTTAAATTAAGCTTGTAAAAGCAAGTGAAGGATAGTTTAAAATTGGAACATTGGCACTTTTTCTTGTAAATAATAATATATAATAAATTATATACCACGGCTAACGAGAAGCGATACTAAATGTAAATAAAACCAATGCAAAGTTATTAGGAATATCAGGGATGTGTAACTTTTTGATAGTTAGATTATATATTCAAGTAGACAATATAGTATTAAAAAATGTCTAGCTAACCAAAAAATAGACTTTTTTAAATTTTGTTATAATTTAAATTTTTGTATAAGTAATGTAGATTCAAATTAAATAAATGCTTTCTGCGCCATCTCTTTTCTGTGTGGGTATTTATCATTAGGCCAAGGTTCTTTAACAGATTTCTAGGTATTAATAACCATATATTTTTCATTCACAGTAAAACTAGTCACCTAAAATTAAAAATTAAATTAAAATGATATACCTACATATACTTTATTTACATGCATCTTTAATAAATTAAGAAAAGTTTTATTATTAAAGTTGTAGATTTTAAATAACTTTAAGATAACTTTAAAATACACTCTGAACCAAGAAGTTTTAATTAAAACTACCAATCAACATTCATATAATATATCCTTTTCCCATACATACCTTTGGACATTTCTTTTTCGGAGAAGTAAAATCTGTTGATTTATCTCTCGACGTACATGGTTGTGGCTCCATCATTAACCACTCTTATTTTTTGCAGACATATCTTCAGAATCAATAAATTTACTTTTCGAAAACTATGCTCTTCCGCACTTTGATTCCGCCACAGGATATCCTCCTGCACTCTTTTCTTTTTGGTCTTAAAGAGATAATTCATTTTTGTGGTCTAATAAGATCGTAGACAGAGAAACCTATAGACAAATTGACGCCTTCTTTCGCATTCGCACACGAAAAAGATAGATTTATGCATACGTCTTGCATAGAAATGAGATAGAGCGGTGTGATTGTTTGTCCCTTTCACCGTGCCGGTTTTTTGTTTAGCAAACTCTACAGTTTGCTAAACAACTTTGAAAGCGTAGCGATTTAAGGAGTTTACAAGTTGGTTTAAGTGAGAAAAAATTGTTTTGTGAGCCTAAGATTGGTAAATCTTGTTCAGTTCAGTTCTTAGAACAATTAAATTTTTTATCTAAATGTGTTTAAAAGTCATAAAGATTATTGTATAACCTAAAAATTCGTTATCGTCCTTTCTCACTCGAGGTCACGCTGATCATTAGTCTATAGGTTTCTCTGTCTACGAATAAGATAATGACAATAAACCAGAAAAAGTTAGAAGAATTGTATGAAGAGATTCATAGAGTAGACTTTATCAATTCAATTACATAATATATTAATGACATAGAGCAAGACGGGCCGCCAACGGACCGGAGTGGAGCAGAGTAACCATGGCATTTTCCCCCGATACAGAACTGTCTGTCTTTTTTTTTGGGGAAGAAATCTGCGCACACAAAAACACTCTTCTGACACTACGAAACTCACTATATATATTCTCATATACTATAACTACGAATTGAAACAATAACTAAGTATTTATCGGTGCCAGAAAAAACTCCGATACAGACTCGAATCAGTAGGTCGATCAATCTGCAAATTGTATGATACCTGTATTGCTACACAAAACCGAAAAACACGACCATATTAATTGTTATTTAAAAAGGTAAAGGTTATATTTAAAAAGTAAAAGATATAAACGTGGCAGAATACTTTGTAGCAAAATCCTGAACTATTCGGCATTTGTGAACAATGTGAATTTAGCCGTGCAACTAGATATAGTGAGCAGTGCGGCTGTGCCTAATATTATTGGACGCGTGGACCATAGATTACTGTATATATACTAGAGAGCGTGGACTTAAACTTATACTTTGCAAGAGGAGAACGCCTGCGTAGGAATACTCTCATCTATTCTGCGGCTGATCAGTGTTATTCTGTGATTATTGAATTATTCAATCAGGATTAGGTGTTTAACTTACAAAATGCTATGTTATTTAGTACCATATAACTGAACAAAAAGCACTCTGCGTCGTCTCATTGCAGAGTTTTAGACGAAGTCACACGGTGCTTTATCTGCCCGCATCTCAACTACTTTGCTGCATGGACTTCATTCGTAACTCAATTTTGTAATATATAGTACCTACCTACTGTATTTTGTGCTGCCTAGGCAACTTCGCAATGCAACGGTGGTAGATTAAGTTTGGGGCTAAAACGTAGTGACATATAGGTACTCTTTCTTTGGCGTTTTAACGAATTGTGGATAATAAATCACTAAATCTGGCACGAGAAGCGCTAATAGGCTGCTGCATCGAGTGATCGAGTGGTTCGAGTGTCATATAAGAATATAAGATATAGGGATAGGCAGGTGAAGCAAATATATCGATATACATCGTTTCGATATTTCTAAAGGGTATCGATATATATTGCGTGGTAAACATCGAGATATCGTCATGTTTTGAATGATGTAGTAGGATTAGGTCCAAAATGGTATTACTGGACAGTTGGACGATGAAAAAAATAGTATTTTGTCGATTAATAAAAAAATTAAAATATATCGAAATTGATAAAAATTCGATACTCCAAAATTAATATCGAATTTCGTTATTTAAAAATATCGACGATATATATCTATTATTTTTATGAGAAAATATCGATATTATATATATCGATAACTTTTACCCAAGCCTAATAAGAGAATTTCTTATTTTCATATGCCGCAACAGCACCGCTAAGGAGCCGTATTGCTTAGCTTTTATTTTTCTGGTCAATACAATAAATTTAATAGCCTTCCTAACGACAGATATTTTAGTCTTCTATTTTTTGGTGTTGCCATATAAATTATGATGTAAAATATATATTGCTTTAACTTACTTATTTAACATTTACCGCTTTGGACAAACGAAATATTAATAATTTACCACATATTTAATTATAGAAATCATTTGGGGCATGTGATCGCCAGGTATCGGCATTTTCGTCGTACGTGAGAGCCGCATGCTCCTTAAACACAACAGCTGGTGGTATAGGGAATTTGTTCACTCGCAAAATGGCGGTCAATGCAAATACATCTTGTCCGTGGCCTAATACCCAGGACGATTATGAATTACGAGATGTTATTGGTAAGTGTTTTTAATTTAATTAAAAACCTATGACAATTTTGAAAATCATGATCAAATCCACTTTAGGAATGTATATATTATTGGGGATTAAATAAAAATGTTTCATACAAGTATTTCGGGGCTGTCAAATATTAAGTGAAGGATGATATTTTCAGTTTACTTTACACTTAAAAATTATGGGTTGAAATCCCGAAAAATATTAGGATTTCCCTTATAATTTTGAATCGATAAAGCATATTGTCCGTAATTACAGCTATTTCAGTGAAAGGTTAGTTCTTTACAGATATGTCATACTGTGTATAACATTTTCTTGACGTAAAGCAAAACAATTTTTTTTTTTTTTTTTTTTAGTTTTTTTTTTTTTTTTTTTTTTTTTTTTTTTTATTGGGAGGGTGGGGGGGGGGGGGGGGGGTTGGGGCGGGGGGAGGGGGCCTGGACAAAAAAAAGGAGAAAAAAAAAGTTATTTTTGTTTTACATATATGGTATAAACCCGAAACCTTTTTTACAGCTTTCTCTGTCAGGTACCACGCATTTTTTTTTTGATTCTTTATATTGTAGATTTGGGCCCCTTTTTTCCCGGGGGGTTCTTTTTTTTCTCTTTTTTATAAAACTTTTCATCGTATTATTATGAAGTAATCAAACATATCATTCGCTATTGTCTCTAGGTGTTGGTGCAACAGCTGTTGTGTATGGTGCTCTTTGTAAACCAAGAGGAGAAAAATGTGCTATCAAGAGAATTAACTTAGAAAAATGGAACACATCTATGGATGAACTACTGAAGGAAATACAGGTATGAAACTCTAAATATTGTTTTAATTCTTTGCTGAAACTAGAGATTGTTAAGAAAGTTAAAAGAAATTGCATTCATATATTTTTTTTGGCTAAAACCACATTAGTTTTCACCTTTCAATTGCTAATATTATCTTGCCCAAAAGAACTACTCTGTAGATGTGTTAATTTTGTGATTGGAAGTTAATTAAAACATATACTCTAATCAGTTCTTACTTAGCTCTGTAATGTTAACAACTTGAGTTGCTTAGTAGTTTTGTAGAAAATTAAAATGCACCTGGTTGTGTTTATTGAAGACTTATATGCTAAGTAACTGTGGAATACTTTTATTATTTATACCATTAAACATCCTTAAATGTTCTCATTAATGATGGTCTTATTAAATTAATTACTAAAATCATCATCATCAGCATCATTGTATGTAGGCCTCTCGTAAGTAATGCCACACAACACAACCCTGTTCAACTTATATCCTTTGACTTCCTGCATGTCTCCTCCTCTGTTTTTGGTCAGAAGGTCACACAGCTGTCAATATTAAATGTAAAATAGTATGGTAAGTAGTATGTATAATATTAGAACTATATGAGTAAGTTACAGTCATGTGAACATAATGTAAACCAATGGATATAGAACTAAATTTTTACTGGTAACTTGGCATGCCATCTTAGTCCTCAGCGATGACAATGCATCTACATTTTCATTCTTAATTTAGGGTAGAGATGTAGCTGTTTGTGGGCCACAGCATCCGCATATCATTAAGTAGGGTATAGACTATTTGCTCACTTATCAATATTTTTTTATTTTTGGGGAATGCAAAGGCATATTGGCTTATAAGATTGCTTATCATTTCTAACATATGGATGTTAGAAATGATAAGCAATAGCTACATAAGATCTAGAAACACAAGTGGTAAAATTAAAAATTTTGTACAACCAAATTCAATATAAGTAAAATAAAAACATCAATGTAGTCAATTAAATATGCATTGTTAAGGATAACTCAAAAAGTACTGGTCAGATCTTGATCAAATTTATATGGAATCACATGAGAAGCACCAGCTTTCGAATAAAAAAACATCATAGAAAATAAAAATCGATTCATGTATAAAAAATCTGAGGTAAACACATAAAAAATAAATAAAAAAATACAGTCGAATTGAGAACCTCCTCCTTTTTTGAAGTTGGTTGAAAATGCTGACATGTATCCGTGGATACTAATGTCCAGACCCATTATTTTACAGTGTCTTAAACCTTTTTAAAGATATGTTTATGTACTGTTGTTCAAAATAAGTTAATTAAATTTGTCTATGAACTCTAGTGTAGATGGCATGAAGTTTTGGGTGATTAAATAAAATAATAACTACTTTAGCTCAGCGCCGGCTCTAAGTAGCGCGGTTTATTTATAATTACAATTACTATGGCCAATTGTAACCTCGGTCCGGAGGCTGTTAAGGAACTGTTTGATATTTTGTATGTAATATTGGAAAGTGAATAGTGTCAATGAGAAAAAAGATGTGTTGTTTCTTCTAGGACTTTAATTAGAGTACTCGAATCTAAACTGTTTGTTTTTTTTTTGTATTTCATATGCTGCCATACCATTCATCAGATTGCAGTAAAACTTTGTCAACTTATTACTTGCGCTTTAGGTCATAATTATAATAAAAATAAAAAATCGCTGTTGTATGTATAAAATAGTTCAATTGTTTTACTTTTATTTTCATCATCATCATTACAGCGCTTTAAAAGTACACTGTTGAACAAAGCCCTACTTTTAGGGATCTCCAAAGGATGGTCATGAACTAAATGCATCTATCAACTTCTTGCATCCCTTACCAGGTTGTCTCTTCTTTTAGGTATAGTGTACTAGAACTTTTTATATTCAAAATAGTAATGTATGTAAAATAGAAAAGGGAAATTTTTAAATATCTTGTTGTGTGTTTATGAACAGCATTTAATTTTATTATATTTTAATTTTATTAATTTTAAAGAATATTTTTGTATTACAGGCCATGTCCAGTTGCAACCATGAAAATGTAGTCACATACTATACAAGCTTTGTTGTAAATGATGAGCTGTGGCTTGTGTTAAGGCTCCTTGAAGGTAAGTTGATAATGATGAATATAAACTCATTTGTTACACAATCAAGTCTGCACACACTTGGTGTAGCACAGCACAGTTCTAATATCACTGCTAATAACTATCATTGTGGACTTCAAAATAATGTCAGTAACAAATGCATATTAGAGTCCAATATCAGACTAGGTAAGCTTAGGATACAGCTGGACAGTTATCAATATGGTCGAAATTGACTCTCTTATCAGCAATTAATTTTTATTTTACCATTTCATTTCACATCATTTATTGTTATTATTTTTTTAACAATAATGTATGTGTTTCAAAATTGTATATTATTTCTAGGTTTCCATTTATTGAAAATTTAGGTATAAAATATATACAGTATTTTGATGATCTGGCATGATGCCATGCTAGTTTTGTTTTCTAAAGCTGATTTTTGCTTTAGCTTGTTTTTCCTAGTAATAGCTTGAAAATGTTTATAAATATGTTTTATTTTTTAAATATTATTACATGTATACTTAATATTATGAACTTATTGAATTTTTTTATTTACCAAGTGTTTGATTCATATAAGTGATAATATTATAAGCTGTATTTATTTATAACTCAGGAAACGCGTGTGGTGCAGCTACTACTCAGTCATGATTTCTTTATAATCAAGATTTGACATAATAAACACGAGCTTTTATTAAATTCTTACCTATGCTAAAAGTATCAGCTACACCCGTGAATGCCGTATAGTATTTTCTTTGAAAAAAACTATTATTTACGGATTTTATCGCGTTTAATTACTTTAATTTATTTTTATTATTATCCCGACGTTTCGGGTGCTTTACAGCACCCATGGTCACGGGGGGGACTGAGATGTTTGACGTCCCAATGTCATAGTTTGTCCGGCTACCTTCAGTTTTTTTTTATATTAATTTTTGGTCCGATTTACGAAAAACGAGCTTATAGTATCATGAAGTCTTGCAGTGGTATGCTTGGGTTTTGGTTTAATTTTGTTAATTATAGGATCCCAAGCAGATGGTAGCACCCAACCATCTTCTCTATTGAAATTTGGATGTTTTTTAATTTCAATAGCCTCGCGTATCATCCTTGGTAGGAATCGGTGTTCTTTTGCGAGAATTTGTGGTTTATCAAATCTAATGTAATGGTGGGGACGATCTTGAACATGTTCGCAGACTGCAGACTTCCCGGAGCGTCGGTGCTTCACATCAGCTATATGTTCCTTCACGCGGGTTTTTATAGATCTCTTTGTTTAACCTATGTAAGAGAGACCACATTCACAATCTAGCTTGTACACACCTGCATCTTGTAGAGGAATATTACATTTGATGGATGGTAAAAATTGACTAATCTTCTTCAGCGGCTTGTAGTATGTCTTAATGGACGCTCGCTTCAAGATGTAGCCAATCTTGTCCGTGACTCCTCTGACATATGGTAGTAGAGCAGGCGCGCGCTCGACTGTGGCCGGCTTCACTCGTTCACTGTGACGTAGGCGCGGGACCCGAAGCTTGTTGTCTTGCAATACTTGCTTGACGTGCTGAAGCTCCGCGGCCAGATGTTTTCTGTCACAGATCCCTCGTGCTCTCTGAAACCAAGATTTACCCACGGTAGCTAACTGTGAAGGATGATGGTGAGATTCACCATTTAGACATCGGTTTTGGTATGGGTCTTTTTTCTATACACAGTGTGACCAATAGTGTCGTTATCAGGATTTCGGATGACTAAAACATCTAGGAAGGCTAAAGTATTATTTTTCTGTAACTCCATTGTGAATTGTGTTTTAGAGTTTATGGAGTTAAGGTGGTCTAAAAATGCAGTTACGTTGTCAGATGGTAAAATTGTGAAAGTGTCGTATACGTACCGCTTGTAGAACCTTGGATTTACAGGAGCAGTAAGAAGGGCTTTCTCCTCTAAAGTCCTCCATGAATATGTCGGCGACTATGGGAGACACAGGTGAGCCCATCGCCACACCATCTACTTGCTTGTAGAACTCCTCCTTTCACAATAGATAGCCAGATGTGAGGCAATGTTCAAGTAGAATTGCATATTCTTGAGGCATGTTATTTTCTTCTAGCTTCCTAGTTACAATTGAGATGCAGTCCACAATAGGTAGGCATGTAAATAGTGACTGAACATCAAAACTGACCATAGTTTCATTGTTAGCGAGATGTAGGTCTTTTATCTCACTCACAAAATGGTACGAATCCTTTGTGTGTGCTCTGGTATGTCCTCTCAGTGGTGATAGTATTTTTGCTAAGTATTGTGCCAGCTTATAAGTTGGTGAATCGATCTGGCTCACTATGGGACGTAGTGGAGCGTTTGGTTTGTGTATCTTGGGGTTACCGAAGAAAAATACTATCACCACTGAGAGGACATACCAGAGCACACACAAAGGATTCGTACCATTTTGTGAGTGAGATAAAAGACCTACATCTCGCTAACAATGAAACTATGGTCAGTTTTGATGTTCAGTCACTATTTACATGCCTACCTATTGTGGACTGCATCTCAATTGTAACTAGGAAGCTAGAACAAAATAACATGCCTCAAGAATATGCAGTTCTACTTGAACATTGCCTCACATCTGGCTATCTATTGTGGAAGGAGGAGTTCTACAAGCAAGTAGATGGTGTGGCGATGGGCTCACCTGTGTCTCCCATAGTCGCCGACATATTCATGGAGGACTTTGAGGAGAAAGCCCTTCTTACTGCTCCTGTAAATCCAAGGTTCTACAAGCGGTACGTAGACGACACTTTCACAATTTTACCATCTGACAAAGTAACTGCATTTTTAGACCACCTTAACTCCATAAACTCTAAAATACAATTCACAATGGAGTTAGAGACAAATAATTCTTTAGCCTTCCTAGATGTTTTAGTCATCCGAAATCCCGATAACACTATTGGTCACACTGTGTATAGGAAAAAGACCCATACCAACCGATATCTAAATGGTGAATCTCACCATCATCCTTCACAGTTAGCTACCGTGGGTAAATCTTGGTTTCAGAGAGCACGAGGGATCTGTGACAGAAAACGTCTGGCCGCGGAGCTTCAGCACGTCAAGCAAGTATTGCAAGACAACAAGCTTCGGATCCCGCGCTTACGTCACAGTGAACGAGTGAAGCCGGCCACAGTCGAGCGCGCGCCTGCTCTACTACCATATGTCAGAGGAGTCACGGACAAGATTGGCTACATCTTGAAGCGAGCGTCCATTAAGACATACTACAAGCCGCTGAAGAAAATTAGTCAATTTTTACCATCCATCAAATGTAATATTCCTCTACAAGATGCAGGTGTGTACAAGCTAGATTGTGAATGTGGTCTCTCTTACATAGGTCACACAAAGAGATCTATAAAAACCCGCGTGAAGGAACATATAGCTGATGTGAAGCACCGACGCTCCGGGAAGTCTGCAGTCTGCGAACATGTTCAAGATCGTCCCCACCATTACATTAGATTTGATAAACCACAAATTCTCGCAAAAGAACACCGATTCCTACCAAGGATGATACGCGAGGCTATTGAAATTAAAAAAACATCCAAATTTCAATAGAGAAGATGGTTGGATGCTAGCATCTGCTTGGGATCCTATAATTAACAAAATTAAACCAAAACCCAAGCATACCACTACAAGACTTCATGATACTATAAGCTCGTTTTGCGTAAATCGGACCAAAAATTAATATAAAAAAAAACTGAAGGTAGCCGGACTAACTATGACATTGGGACGTCAAACATCTCAGTCCCCCCGGTGACCATGGGTGCTGTAAAGCACCCGAAACGTCGGGATAATAATAAAAATAAATTAAAGTAATTAAATGCGATAAAATCCGTAAATAATAGTTTTATTCAATGTGTAGTGTTCGCGTAAATTTAAGAAATCATTAGTATTTTCTTTATTTTTTTAAATAATTAAATTATTATTGTAATTGTTATAATATTATTATTGGTAATGTTCTCGTTTATTTGTGATGTATATATTAACACGTATAAAACAGGATTTTTATTACTACGATTTCATTAAAAATTTAGTTTGTTATGTAAAGTACAGTATGACTAAAAAAAATCGGAGCAAAATTGTCAATAAAAACAAGGAAAACGTCTTAACGTTTTGTTACTCGACTGCGGCAAAATTCGAAAGAAGGTTAATGTTTCTGATTAGTATGTATCATATCTCAGTCGATTTATCATAATTGCGCGGGTAACATGAGACTACCGGTAATTTGTATAAAATATATTTCACATTAATATCTATTTATCGTTTGGCTCTTTATTTAAAAAAGAAATCACATTTTTAGAAGACATGACGAAATAAATGTGGAACTTTTAACATTATATTGTTTAGTTTTACTTGTTATAAGCCAGTTGTTGTAATATTTTTTTTAATCGTATTACCAAAACATTAGCAATATATTGACAAGAAAATGGAAACCTTTTTAATGGTTACTGTCTTTGGTTCATTATTAAGGTATGATACATGATTTCTACCCAAGTGTTAATCCTTTTTCTTTAGGTGGCAGCTTGCTGGATGTCATAAAACATAAAATGAAGATATCAAATTGTAAACATGGAGTCTTTGATGAAGCAACTATTGCAACGGTCCTTAAAGAAGTTCTGAAGGGACTGGAGTACTTCCATAGCAATGGACAAATACACAGGTGAGACACTATATAAAAAAATAAAGTCACAGCTGATGTTATATGTTCTACTACTAGGTACACAGGTCAGGCGGTAATTTGTGCACTTCTCCAATTCCTGTTGATGGACTTCACTAATGTCCTCGAAAAATTTATTCCTCAGACTTGCATTTCTCATGATATTGTCCTCACCGCCGTGGAATGAACTATTGTAGCGTGGGGCTAAGCGGCCGTAGTACATTTCTCAGTACGCAAGTAACCCGGGATCGATCCCGAAATTGTTAATTGCAATTTTAATTACTGATTTACACCGTGCTCGGCGGCCTAGGAGACGTATTTATTTATTGATTTTTTTCGAAACATAGTTTTAGTTTAGTATTTTTTTATAGAATAAGAATAACAAACGAGCACACAGTCCACATGATAAGAGAAAGCTATGACCTATAAACATCTACATTTATCTGATATTAAGAATGAAAATGCGGATGCGTCATCACCCCTGAGGACTAAGATGGAATTCCTCGTTTTCCAGTAAAAAAGGGCCTCCGGTTCACTCACTATACGAAACACAACAGCCTTTAGGCTCTATTTTACGCTGGTATTCTGTGAGAGCGTGGTCAGCCGACCCATTCGTGCTACAAGTAATATAGCTGCAGTGTGGCCCTACCATAAATTAGTATAGATATCAATTATAGTGATTCAAGGAGGTTGGGATGAATTTAGCTATGTGGAATATTTAAGTTTGTTTGTAAATTAAATATTATGCGCGCTGGCGTTCGCGAAAAATTAGTATAAATATATCTAATGGGTACGTTTTTGAACGAAAATATCTAAAAGGGCTAACGCATTTTTGTTGTATTTGATTAATTCTACACCATTATATTACATTCTCTTCCATATTTACCATTCGTATATGTCTAATGTTTATGCTATAATAACCGAAAAGTATTTCATTAATAATTGGTTTGGCATACACAGACCATGATATCGATATAACTGAAAAAATATCAAATTGTAGTCAAAATACTGATGCGTATGTGTGATGGTACCCCTGATGACTGAGATGGAGTACATCGTTACCAGTAAAAAGGGTTTCCGGTTCTCTACATGCTGGTATAGCAGTAACGTGGACGTAACGTCTACCACGTAAGATTCACAAGTATTTTGAATATTGTACGTTATCGTTAACCGGGCAATTGCAAATATTAAAAAATATATGCTTTATTATTATTGTCTGACTAATGGAATTCTTAATTGAAGATGTGCAGTCATTAGCTAGTTTTTGCCTGGTATGCAAAAATATATTTTTACAAACAGTTTAGAACTTGTTTCTTTATCCAGAACACTATAAATTAATTAAATAAAAAATTTACTTGGTGAATGTCATGACATTGCCTATATTCTGCGAATTTGAATGAACTATATAATATGCACAGCGACTTCCTAAACTCGCATTATTGCCATACTCTGCATTGTTTTCACGTGTATTGTTTGCAGCGGTTTCGCTTCCTTTTGACGTCGAATTGAAATGTGTTTACGGTTTAAGGTCATTTCCGTGTTTTGATGCATCATTTTATAGCTTGATGTGCAAATTATTAGGATTGTTAGCTTATATTTACTTACTTTGCTACAACTGTGTTTTGTTGAATTCCTTGCTTAAGACCTATATTCAGCAGTTAACTTTTAAAGGGTCTTAATGATGACGATATTACTTATTTCAATAAATATAATGTTTACATTCATATCATGTTTCTTTCTTTATAGCTGTAATTTTATATATGTCAGGCAGAGTTTCGGCAATTTGTAAAAGACGTTTAAATATTTAAGACTACAATAACAATGTAATAATGTGTGAAGATAAAGAGGTTTCCCCTTATAGCTCTTATTATTACTTTTGTCACGTAAGCTTATAATTGATTGAGATCTAAGTGATAACATTTTTAAATCTATGATATTTGATAGCGTAATATAAGATTATTAAAATAAGGGATTTTTCTGGCCTTTGCAAGTAATATTCAATTAAAGTTTGTTTATAAATGTTTCATTATGTTGTAACAAACATGTGTATTGAAAATATAATATAGAAAGAATTATATAAGTTAAACAAGTATATTATGTCATTATTTGATTGAAGAAAGAATGTCACACGGCACACTGTCTACTGATGGTAAGTGGATGGCGTGGCATATAAACATCTACATCTATTCTGGATAAAGAATTAAATTGCAGATGCCTTGTCACCCTTGAGGTCTGTAATGGAATGCCTCGTTATCATTAAGAAGAGATCTCCGCTTTTCGTCACTCACCATACGAAACACATAGATAGTATAATATGCTGCCATTTCACGTTGGTGTTCTTTAACAGCGTTGTCGTGCCTTGGTCGAGCCGTATTAATGCGCAAGCACAGAAAAATTGAAGTTGCATTCACTTCCGTGTTCTCATAATCTACATCTTTCATCATGGCTGAAGAAAGATTTGTTCATGTGATCTGGCGTAGAGTACATCTTTCCGTGACAAAGGGGTAAAACACCCTCAGTTTCGTGAGTCCGGGCTGCTAACTGAGAATTTTTTGACAAAAAAGCCCAACTCGGGACCCGACCCGACTCGTGATTCGAACCCAGGACCACATGATTAGTTGCCGCGCTTATGCTCACTAAAAAGAGAGAGTTATAGGCATGTTGATAGACTTGACATGTTCCTGAAATATATATTTCTTTCTTGGTATGTAGATTTCCTCCTTTACAGCTTATTAAAAGTCAACAGCTGATCATTGGCCTCCCCCAATCGATTGCCTTATAGGGGAAATTTGTTATAGTTGCCAAGCAAGGCAGAGTTACGCGGATATTTTAAATTATACCGGGGATAGAAAGGTTTCTTGAATACAATGAAACTAAATACGGATCTGTTGTGCACCTGAAACTACCCACAGCTCTACAAAACATACAACTCTGCACACAAAACAAAGCTCTGCACACACTTATGCAAAACATGTATAATAAGCCGCGGTGAATTGGTTCAAATTCAAGTAATTGTTTGTGCATTGACACAATTTTTTATCATCATCATTATCATCGCAGCCCGTAAAAGACCACAGCTGGATGTGTGCCTAAACCGTCATAGGATAGATTTGCTTCGTCGCGTCGTCGCGCTTACCGGCATACAATCACATTGCAGCACTTGTAAAGCAGTAGGAGCTAATAGTTTGGGCGTTGCCGCGGGTTTAAATTCTGCAGGCTGCATTCAAAGCTGTTTTCCGTCACCAGTGACTGCGTATGGTACGAAATGAAATGTTCGTAACGGCCGGAATCAATAAGATTTTTTTTTATATATTATGTCTCATTGCCTTTTTCTACACTCATAGCGCGAAATCGAGTACTGGATTCTCTTAGGTCAGCACTAGGAGGACACGTCCGATTTTGGTCACCGTATTCGATCACCACTTACCCATTTTGTATATACTTACAACACGTAACAACTTTCAATAAAAACAGGTTGCAGTTCGACTAAATGAAAATTCATACCTTACAAATAATTACAGCGATAAATTCAAATTTCGTAATCGTTGTGTTGTCACCATTCGCCCAGTAGAGTTTCCATTTTAAAACGCAAGTGGACCATGTAAAACGTCATCGGATTCTGTAATGAGTTCTTTTGACGTGCAAAATGCCACTTACGAATAAATACACTTACGTATAAATGCACTATAATTTGCATGAGGGCACCTTCGGCTGGCAACCCGAACATCTGAATTCGGATGCGTGTTTTATTGTCTACTTGAACTTAAAATTCTTTGAAGTTATAGATAGGTAAAAACTATCGTAATTGCTTGATTTGAACATATGTTGCGCGCCCGGGTGAAAGTAAGTCGTCCATTAACACGATTAACCAGCCATAATGATTCAGACGCTAATGCACTAACGGCCAATTCGTTGTGTGTGATGACATAACTTTAATTATAACCCTTATGATGAGACATAATTTAATAATATCTCAAAAAACGAAGTGCAAACTAATAGTTATGGTGTAATAAAAAGGATAGCTTGGAATGGAGTATTATTTTGCATATACAGTATGGATAATGGGTATATTTGGTATACGATACTGCCTCGTTGGTCTAGTGGTTGTAGTAGTGCGGTTGCTGATCATGAGGTCCTGAATTCGAATCCCGGGTCGGGCCAAAAAAATCAATTATTGAGTTTTTCTGTCAAGAAGTTCTCAGTAGCTGCCCGGAGTCAGGAAGTTGGCGGTGTCTCACCCTCGTGCCTCGGAAAGCACGTAAAGCCGTTGGTCCTGCGACTGATCTCTCTCCCGGTCGTGTCGGTTTACCGTCCCATCGGATTACGAGGGTGAGGGAATAGAGAGTGCACCTGTGCTTGCGCATACACTTGGGCACTATAATCCTGTCCTGCGCCGATGGCTAGCCTCCGTTGAGGCAGGCCGCCGTGGCCGAAATTCGGTCTGGAGGACATTATTATACGATATCCCTTTACTATCAAACAAGATTATTAATGCTTGTGGGGGATATATATCATCCAGACTATCGACAGTTCACTTCTGAACATAACCCTCTCCCATAATTTGTCTGACTTTGCTATAGTATAGGTACGCTGGGAAAGATTATTTTGAATTGTTATCAGGAAGATGCTACTCTCCATCTCCTGTTTCAGTTGCCCTTTTACGACACCGACGGGATTATACGGTATAGTGGATATTCTTACGCCGTCCATTACACATTGGGGGGAGGTATAATATAATACAAATAATTTTCGTATGAAATAGAAGGTAAAATCAGTTTAAAGTAGACAGTTGTTTGGGGGGGGGGGCCTTGGTAGTTCAGGTGCTAAGCGTTTGCTGTTAATTTCACAACACGCGAGTAACCCTGGTTCGATCCCGCCGGCACCAATAAAATTGTTAATTGTAACTTTAAGTGCTAATTTATCACGTGCTCGTCGGTGAAGGAAAACAACGTGGGGAAACTAGGCATGTCTGAGAAATAAAAAAAAATATTTCGTGGATATGTGAAGTCCGAGAACACGTATTGGGGCAGCGCGGCGAACATTTCCTTGCCTTAAAAGCTCTGTTAGAAATAAGAGAAGACCTGTGCCCAGCAGTGGGATGTATATAGGCTGTAACTTTTAGACAGTTACTTTGGGCTCGCATATTCGATATGCAATCGATTGATATAGTTTTGAATGTCCAGATTTTGCGGAGTTTTACTTTTACATACGTTTCTTTTCATAGGATAAGTGTGACAAACGAACACAGTCCACCTAATAGTAAGTTGATGCTGTGGCCATGGACATGTACATTTATCCTTGATTGACAATCAGATTTTAATAAAAATGCAGATGCGTTGTCACCCTTAAGGTTTTCCGGTTCCTTACCGTCACACGTAAAGCCGTTGGTCCTGCGCCTGATCTATCTCCGGTCGTGTCGTTTTACCTTCCCATCGGATTATGAGAGTGAGGGAATAGAGAATGCACCTGTGCTTGCGCATTCAATTGGGCACTATAATCCTGTCCTGCGCCGTTGCCTAGCCTCCGTTGAGGCAGGCAGCCGTGCCCGAAATTCGGTCTGGAGGACATTATTACTATATACTAGACAACTACCCCAGGTACCTCAGGTAGTTGTCTGCACAGTTCTTTATACTGCTTGTACGAGTGGCGGAGTTTAACTGCTTATTAGAAATCTACCCTTACTCTTAACATGTGACATGTTGACATTTTTTTATAGAATAAGGCCGACAAACGAACACGCAGTCCACCTGATGGTAAATGGAATATGTGGCCCATAGATATCTACATTACATCTCATCAAATTAATCATCATCATTAATAATCATCTTAAATCAAAATGCAGATGCGTTGTCACCCGTGAGGACTAAGATGGAATGCCTCGTTTCTAGTAAAAAGGGTCTCCAGTTCTCTACACTCACCATACGAAACACAGCAACATTAACGACGGCTCCGTGGCGCAGTGGCTTAGCTATGAGTTACAGCGCTAAGGGCCGCGGGTTCGAATCCCGCACGGAACAAGTATTTGTATACCCTACAAGTATATGTTCCGGGTATGGATGTTTGTTTTTGTGAAATTTATCTTTGTAAACTGCCCCCACGATACAGGAGAAAATCCTAGTGTTGAGCCGACCAATTCGTTTTCGTTCGACCGACGTAATTTAGTTGTAGCTATAGCAATTTGGGAGTATAATATAGCTGCAGCGTGACTCTCCGATGTACAAAAATATAAAAGAAAAAGATTTAAAAACTTTTGATATAATGAATCATCATTGACAACCCATACAAGTAGCAATCCCACAGCTGAATATGCATGCCACAAAGCATGGTCCAGAGCTACCTGCATCCAGCAACATAATGTATTTTTAATTTTATATTGCACATATATGTAATATAAAAATATGTAATGTCATGAAAGAAACTGATGGAAAAATTTGGGATGTGCAAGCGGGTTTTAGAAAGGGAATGGGGTGTACAGATCAAGTCTTTTCCATGCGCATGATTGCGGAGAAGTTTTTGGCCAAAAACCGGAAAGTTTTTTGTGCGTTCATGGACTTGGAAAAGGCTTATGACAGGGTGGACAGGAATGTGTTATGGCAAACACTGAACTCATATGGGTTGAGCGCTGGTTTGATACAGGCATTAAGGTCTCTTTATAGGGACTCTAGTGCTTGTGTCAGGATCAATGGGGTCTACTCGGACTGGTTTGGCATCCAAAAAGGTGTCAGACAGGGCTGTGTGGCTTCCCCTTGGCTGTTCAACCTATTTATGGACCGGTGTTTGCAAACTTTGAAAGATGAAGAATGTGGGTTAAGAATGGGCGACTTAACCGTCAAATGCCTTTTGTATGCCGATGATCAAGTCATACTTGCGTCATCGGCGGCAGAGTTGCAAATGATGGTTACATTAATGAACTGGGAATTAAAAGAAAGGGGAATGAAAGTGAACGCAAGTAAGACGAAAGTGATGGTTTTTGAAAGAGAAGAAAGCAAAACGGTATGTGAAATAAGAATAGAAGGAGAGTTGATTGAGCAAGTGGATGAGTTTGTGTATTTGGGATGTGTATTTAGCAGGGATGGTAGATATGATAGGGATATAGAACGACGAGTAAATGCAGGGAATAGAGTGAATGGGGCACTACACTCTATTATGAAGAACCAGAATTTGTCAAAACAGGCACGTATAGTAATTCATAATGCTGTGTTAGTCCCTACTTTAATGTATGGTAGTGAAAGCTGGGTGTGGCAGAAGAAGCACGAAAGTAGAATAAATGCTGTAGAAATGCGGTCTTTAAGGAATATGCTAGGGTTTAATCTGAATGACAGGGTGATAAATTGCGTGATAAGAGATAAATGTGGTATGCAAGATGATGTTGTGACCAGGATTAAGAAAGGAATGCTTCGGTGGTTTGGTCACGTAGAAAGAATGAATGAGGAAAGAGTGACAAAGCAAATTTATATGGCAGATGTGAATGGCCGAGTCGGGAAGGGACGCCCTAGGAAAAAGTTTATCGACCAAATTGGCGATATTTTGAAAATGGGCCACGTTAGAAGTACCCTTAACCGACGAGCATGTATGCGTAGATATATGGATGTAAAGGAGGCGAAAGAGGTATGTCAGGATCGTGCCAAATGGAAGTCCGTAGTCTCTGCCTACCCCTCTGGGTGACAGGCGTGAGTGTTTATGTATGTATGTATGTATGTAATATAAAAATAGCAATATTAAAATATACACATCTTAATCTTAATATATATATAAATTACGTGTCACGTTGTTTGTCCGCGATGGACTCCTAAACTACTTAATCGATTTTAATCAAATTTGCACACCGTGTGCAGTTTGGTCCAACTTGAGAGATAGGATAGCTTTTTTGCCCATGAGTAATCCACAATTTTTTTGCGAATTTAAGAATTTTTAATAGGACATGACAAAGGATCCTCGAAAAGGGCAGAACAACATCTGCCTGGCAAGCTAGTATACCTATATAAATTACGTGTCACGTTGTTTGTCCGCGATGGACCCCTAAACTACTTAACCGATTTTAATCAAATTTCCCCACCGTGTGCAGTTTCGTCCAACTTGAGAGATAGGATAGTTATTTTGCCCATGAGTGATCCACAATTTTTTTTTGCGAATTTAAGGATTTTGATAGGGTCGTCGAAAAGGGCAGAACAACGTCTGCCTGGCAAGCTAGTATATTATACATTATAAAAAAGTTAACAGATAAATTTAACTGGTAAAAATTGATTGAGCTGACATGTAAGATCTACGTGTTCAGAACATGGAACATCACAATGTGCAAGTTTAGCACGAAAAATTGATACAATTTTTCATGCACATTGTTTATGATTATGAAGTAAAAACGAGTTTACTGTTTACAACATTATTCTCCTAATTACCAGAATAATAACCAGGTATAAAAGATTTATACGATTATTTAAAATTTTAGAACATTTGCTTTACATTATTGATACAATATAGAACTCAGATCGTATAGTGTACAACCGAAGTTAAAGTTTGACTGTAGTCACTTCGCTTGGATGGTCGTTGATTATTGTTGTAAAGAGTTCTAAACAATACTGATTGTGAAAATCAAACAGTGTGCGCCAATTAAGTGAAACCCATTCGAAAATCTAGATTCCCATAAACATTTTATTTTAAAGTATGCGCAATGCAGAAAAATGTTGAACAGTAATTTAGTCTATTGATCGCATTTTACATTCCAGGGATGTAAAAGCTGGTAACATTTTGCTCGGTGAAGATGGCACGGTTCAGATTGCTGATTTTGGCGTATCGGCTTGGTTGGCGACCGGTCGGGATTTGTCAAGACAAAAAGTCAGGCACACGTTCGTCGGCACGCCGTGTTGGATGGCTCCAGAAGTTATGGAACAAGTAAGTCACCATAATATACGTCTAGTGTTTTATCCATTGTTTTCAATAAATTAAACATAGAAGAATATTTACCGCCTAGTTACAAAATGTGATTTATTGAGTGTCGTCTTTAGAAGTCGAAAGAAGAGTCTTTGTTACGGAAGAAGTCCCATAGCTATGGCACTTCCTGTGGGCTTCTTTATTAAAACAAACAATCTCGTACTTATAATTATATTTCGCAAATTTACGACGGGATTTTTTTCATTTTTTTTTGAAACAGACCAGTTTAAAGCTAATGATGAACTTCTGTCAACCATCTCTCCCATCTCTGCACAGAAAAGACAACTCACCGGCCCATGCCATAAAGGGTAAAGCTAATCTGCTGGGCTCTCTCTTTGCGTCCGCAGTAGGAATGCTCCATGCAGGATGTGCTGTTTACCCAGCACAGTCAATAAGTCATGTGGGCCTTATGGAGTCTCTCCTATTGTGCTGAAGACGTGTGCTCCGGAGTTGACACCTGTTTTAACGTGACCTTACCGGTACTCCTACTCCATAGGCGTAGTCCTGAACTCATAGAAAACACCAAATCCCTAAAATGACGACCACTTAGATCCCTTCTAACTACAAGACTATCGCTATCACCTCATTGTTCTCCAAAATAATGGAAACAATTATTAACTGCCAGCTCATGAAGTAACTTGAGAATCACCAGCTGATCAGTGACCGCCAGTTCTGTTTCCGTTGGGGTCGCTCAGCTGGTGATCTTCTGAGATACCTTACTCATAGTTCTAAACTACTTTTATAAGAAGACTGTATCAGTTCTACTACAAAAGTTGGTTTATTGAGTCTCCGGTTTAGAAGTCTCATGAAAGAGCCGTAGCACCAGAGTCTTCAAACAACTATCAGACATCACACTTTACGGTTTAGTTAGCACGAAATTTTTCCATTGAAGCAGACTAGTTTAAACTTGGGACTATTATAAACTACTTTTATAAGAAGACTGTCTACGTTATTACAAAACATGGTTCATCGAGTCTCGGGCTTAGACTCGAGACAAATATCTCTTTGTCACAAAAAAGTTCCTTAGCCATAGCGTCACAGTCTTCAAACAACTTTTTTTCCATCGAATAAAGGTGACACGAGGACACGGTCCACCTTATGGTAAGTAGATAGTAAAAGAGTCTCCGGTTCTCTACACTCACCATATGAAACACAGCAATAGCAGCCTTTAGCTGCTACTTTATGCTTGTATTCTGTGAGAGCGTGGTCCTTTCGCGGTCGAGCTGACCTATTCGTGCTAAAACTATACTACTAATATAGCTGCAACATGGCTCTCCACGTAAATGACATTCAAACATCAAACTTTATCATATTTTAGTTCGCATACTTTTCACGGAATTTTTCCATTGAAACATTCCAGTTTGTACTAGAGACTTTACATTTTTTGTAATAAAGTGTTTTGCGTATTCTTAAGTATTTTATATTGGATGCATATAAACGTTATTAAGAAGCCACCAACAAGAAATATTTGAACATTTCTCGTTATGCTCGGCAGGCAGCTGAATAATCGCAAGTTGATGCCCTCACATTATTCTGCTCTGTCACCATCTGTGGGATTTCGGTTCAGAATTTTTTAATGGATAACATTGAACTAATATGTACTATGTAATAGAACAGATACCGAGAAAAAAATCTGTGCATTAGTGCGGGGCATCTAGCAGGAGGTACAAAGTACTTTTTTCTAATGCGTTTTGCAAACAACCAAGTCTAGGCGTCTATTCTAATAGGTAGTACATATTACTTCTACCGCTTTTTGTCAGTCGCTAGAGCATAGTCTGTAAATTATAGGTTTGAGTGTGGCCAAGTATCTTTTCTTTGTAAAATATCATTATTTATTCCCAAGATATCATTACCATCATCATCATCGTCGTCGTCGTCGTCATCATCATTATCACAACCTTTCACAAGTCCTGCTGAACATAGGCCTCACTGCATCTGCATGCTGAGCCATGTGCATCCATTGACTTGCTTCGTGTTTTACCAAGTCGTCACTCCATCTAGTGGGTGGCCGCCCCACACTTCGCCTACGTTTACGGCTGCTATTTGTTCTCGAGATATGAGATTCGAAAATTAGCCGCAAACGTACATATGTACATTGACATACAATTGTTTTATATATTTTTGGGTGAAGGTTATGGTCCAATGTTTTTAATTTATAAGGTTACAGAAATGAAGACAATGTACTGTATTGTACTGATACACGCAGACATTCTCTAAAAGCTTGGCATGGCATTCAAAATACTTTGAAACAATGTCAATGTAATTCAATTTTACAATATTAAGATGTGACATAATTGGATGTACCTTTATAACAACCCAATTCTTTTCGCATGATTATTTCTTATTTCACAATATTTATTTTAAGTTATTTTTTTACGCAGGATCATGGTTACGATTTCAAAGCCGACATCTGGTCCTTTGGAATAACTGCAATTGAAATGGCAACTGGTACTGCACCATATCACAAGTATCCACCGATGAAAGTGCTTATGCTGACGTTACAAAATGATCCGCCGAATTTAGATACAGGTATGCTATATACATATATAAACATTCACACCTGTCACGCAGAGGTGTAGGCAGAAACTACGGACTTCCATTTGGCATGATATTGACATACCTCTCTCGCCTCCTTTACATCCATATACCTACGCATACATGTTCATCGGCTAAGGGAACTCCTAATGCTCACTTTCAATATATCGCCAATTTGTTCGATAAACTTTCGTCTAGGGTGTCCCTTCCCGACTACTGTTCACATCTGCAATATTAATTTGTTTTGTCACTCTTTCTTCATTCATTCTTTTTACAAGACCAAACTTGATCCTGATCACAACACCATCTTGCAAACCACACTTTTCTCTTTCACACAATTTCTCACCCTGTCATTCAGATTTAGCCATAACATACTCCTTAACCCTTAAATGCATATTGTTGCCAATTGTCTACATTTATTTTCACGTTATTTTATTCAAAAACCTCGAGTCCCTGCGTTTCCGAACGCTCGTAAATAACCATAGGCAATAAATCATTATTGAAAGAAAAAAGTTGACATTACATTTGGCGGGTAAGTTACTCGTTTTTTGACATTTGAATGTGGTGGGTGATGAAGTTCAGTGTGTTACTAGAAGACATAGTTTCTACTGTCGAGTTCCTAATAAAAAAGTGATTCTTATTCTAAAAAAATTACTTCTAATTTGTTATCAGGTAAGCTATCAATGTTTGATGTTGTATTTGAAAGTTATATTAGATACAAGACAGATTTTTGGAAATTACTGTATGTTGCCAAATGTCTACATTATGCGTTTGTTTCATAAATAATTATAAGCAAGTGTTTTTGGTGTCTGGGTCTTTTAACATAGTTTGCTTTGCTTTATAGGATGTCTAGACGGCTAAAAGATGACGATATTGAGGATTTACTTGCACAAATAGAAAATGGAGACATTTCTGAAGATGAAGAGGATATGGGTGATATGAACGAAATTGATTATCACCCGGACCTACGAGATCTAATAAGCGAATTAGAGGACAATAATGATGACGATGAAGAATACAATGAAAATCCACCTTCGAACATGGAAGAAGGATGGTTAGATCACTTCAATAGTCCAGCTCCAGGACCTTCGAATTGTCAACCACATTCAAGCCTTCTTGGTGTTGCAGCGTGGAGACAACAAACTAGAGAACTTATATGGAAAAATCGTAATTTGCAATACAGTGAAGAACATATACGTTTCACAGGAAATACAGACCTTTCCCCTCCACTAGCCGCGCTTGAAACACCATTCCAATTTTTCTCCGAATTTATGAATGAGGATATACTCACTGTTATTGTGGAACAAACAAATTTATACATCACGCAAAAAAATGTATCCAACTGTCCTCCTGTAACTGCTACTGAAATCCGTCAATTTCTAGGTATCATCATATTTATGTCCGTGTACCATTACCCAAATCAAAGATCAGTAATACATTTCAATGATAATGCACAGCACAAACCGATTGGACACCCAAACCATAATCGTCTTCATAAAATAATACCTGTTGTAGTACACTTGAACAAATTGTTCGTGAGTGTGGCACCATTTGACCAAAGGCTCTCTCTAGATGAGCAAATGTGTTCGACTAAGGTAGCTCATTTTATGAAGCAATATTTACCCAACAAACCTCATAAATGGGGGTTTAAGTTGTTTGTTTTGTGTTCACTCTCTGGATATGCTTATAGTTTTGAAATATATTCTGGTAAACAAAATGTTTACAACTTATCTGATGAACCTTGATATTGGTGTAGTCGGTAATACAGTGATTAGATTGTGCCGTTCAATTCCACGAAAAATGAGCCATATCCTATATTTCGACAATTTCTATACATCCTTTCCTTTACTGTATTACCTATGGACTCAAGGAATATATGCATTGGGTACTATTCAACGTAACCGCCTCGGAAAGAATTGCAAATTGCCAGGTGTAAAAGATTTTATGAAAGATTCTATAGTACGAGGAACATATGAGGAACAAGTAGCTGATTATGAAGGCCTTGATATCTCGGTAACATGCTGGAAAGATAATAAGGTTGTCACATTAGCGTCAACTTATGTAGGCTCCGAACCAGCCGAAACTGTGAATAGATACGATAAGAAACAAAAGAAACAAATTTCCATAGCTTGTCCAAAAATAGTCAAAGATTATAACGTCCATATAGGAGGAGTTGACCACATGGATAGTTTTTTGGGTAGGTATAAAATCAGAATAAAAAGTCGCAAGTGGTATATTAGATTTTTTATCACATGGTTGATATGGCAGTGATCAATTCTTGGATACTGTATAAGAAAAAATACCCAAATCTTTAGGAGATTACAGATCTGAACTTGCAGAGACTTTATGCTCCTATAAAAAGTACGATACAAATAAAAGAGGAAGACCCTCAAGCAATAATGTAGAAAGGGAGATCGAAGCCAAAAAACACCGAGGTCCCGCTAAACCTGTCCCGCCAAAAGATATCCGGACTGATGGTATAGGCCATGATGAAAAAAGGTGCAGCGCTAAAAATAGATGAAAACTTCCAGGTTGTAAAGGATTTTCACGGACTGAGTGCGTCAAATGAAAGGTTGCTTTATGTCATAACAAAAATCGCAATTGCTTTGCTGTATTTCATTCATAAATAATAAGGAAATTCCTATACTAATGAATAAAATTATGACTATTTGCTTACGTCTACAGTAATTTTATCAATAAACGCATATTGTTGCCAAAAGTCTACATAGTATTTTTTCAAAATAAATATTCTATATTATTAGCTGGATTTTTTTAATTATTTTTTACGTAACCTGTGACTAATTTCCTATCATATACTATTTTTTTTAGTTCAAACAAATAATCATGCATTTAAGGGTTAATAACGGCATGTATTCTACTCTTGTGCTTCTGCTACATCCAAATCACTACCAAACATTAACATAGGAACTAACAAAGCACTGTGAATTCGCCATATGTGCCTTTTTTGTCACATTATGACATCCAAAAATAGAGTGTAGAGCCCCATTTACTCTATTTCTTGTGTTCACTTATCGTTCTGTATCTTATTATATCTATCATTCCTGCTAAATACACTAAATACACATAGGAGATCATAGTCATTCAGTATTTGTTTTTGTGTGAATATTATAAGGACCCTTTTATTTGGAGTAACGGTTAAATAGTATTTCCCTGCACCATCTCCACTATATTGAGAGCCGCTTGAGTCAGGTCACACACCATGCTTGCTGTCTTCCAAGAGACCAGTATTGTCAAGTCATCTGTATAACTTATTGTGTAGAAATCATTGGCATTTAATTTGCTGCTGAGTTCATTAATGACCATATTCCACAGGAGAGGTGAAAAAACCCCACCCTGCGGGCAGTCTTTTTTGATCTGAATTTTTTGAGATTCACCAGCAATGTTTGTGTACTGAGCATGTTTACTATCCAGTCAATCAGTGCCAGTTCATAAAAGTTTCAAAAGCACCTTCTATTTCTATGAAGAAATCTAGAATCTATCTCATATATATAAATAATATGAAACAATTACAAGAACATATAAACTTTTCTAGGTGCCGATAAAGATCAGTACAAAATTTATGGAAAAACTTTCCGAAAATTAATATGTGATTGCTTACAAAAAGATCCGACCAAGAGGCCAACCGCCACGGAGTTATTAAAGCATCCATTTTTCAAAAAAGCCAAAGATAAAAAGTACCTCACTCAGACTCTAGTCGCTATAGGCCCTAGTATGGAAACTAGGGTTCATAAGGTAAGAAAAATTCTTACAATTTTCAAAATGGTTAATGGTTAAACATTTAAGATTAAAGCAGTAGCCCGACAACAAATTCTTCTTCTAACCCTGAAACAATCCACTACTGGTCATTCCTCACTTTGTAAATTTCGAGATGCTAAAGTGTTAGTGACATCAATACAAGTCTCGCATCTTTTGATACTCCTTTATCTTACTTTTATTTAAATAATTCATATCTGGCTTGTATGAGATGTTTTTGACATTTCCCTCAGTCCCCCTTATGATTCACATAGAACAATACATAAAATGTGATAGATTTTCTAACTTTCGCACTACACAGTGTAAGCATCATTGCCTTTCCAAAGTAACTTTTTTTAATTTTCAGGCAAGTAAAAGGCAAACAGGCGCGTCGGGTCGGTTGCATCGCACCGTTACTGGTGAATGGGAATGGAGCGAAGAGGAAGACGAAGGAGCGAAGGCCCCAGGCTCCGATGAGGAGGCAGCAGATGATAAGAAACCGATGAATGAACTGCAGAGAGCGGACTCTAGTGGAAGTGACAATGAAGAGGTGAGTTTATAATATGTTCTTATATTGGATTTTAATTTTAAGATTTTAAGGATTATAATTATAAATTACTAGGTGATAAAAAAGTAATAATGGATTTTTAGCCTATAGCCATTCGATTACAGCATATAAAATTGCACTGCTATTAAATTGCCTCATAGGGGATTTTGCGATAACTGCCACACTTGGCGGTCAGGTTCGGAACCGCAGTATGCTTGCAATTTTGAGCTGTTATCGGGAAGATGCTGCTACCCATCTCCAGTTTCTATTTCCCTCTGTCACCATGAACCCACAGGACGATATGGGGTAGGGGATAATTTTACGTTGCCATTACACGGTAATATTCCAAGTATGCCTAAATAAGTAATTAACTGGAAAAAGGAGCCCATATCTTGGGTCAAACATGAAGATAATTAAAAAGGCTAGTTAGAATTCTGTTTCACCAATGCAGTGACTTTCATTTGAGAAGGAAGTGCAGAATCGTTCAAACACCTTTTTCTTTAGATTTGGTACCTTATGAGTTTGTTCTAAAGTGGTACAAGGGTAAGAAACTTTTAATTCTCTATTTTATTTCAATTTCATTCTCTAATCTAATTCTTTCCAGTTCTGGTTTTATTGGAAAGAAATTTGTCTCCTATATTACATTTATATATTACATTATTATTACATTTTATTTGCAAATATAATTATTCATAATATTTTAAATAGAAAGAAAGAACATAAAATAAATATTCAAAAATATAAACTGGTTATAAAACAATTAAAAAAATTAAAAATCTTTCTAAAAGCACCATGTCGTCTTTGTTCAGTAAAATATTTGTAATGGAATATCTGCACGTTTTAGTCTATGATTGTAGGTGGCGCGGCATTTAAATGAAGTAATATTTTTTTTGGTGTACGATATTATTACCTATTTTTTTACTTGAACAACAAATAATTTTAGTTACTTCACTACTGAATTGTTATTTACGTCCAAGTTCAACACTGCATGAATATTGAAACCACACTAAATGACACTAAAGGTGTACGGATTCCAGTTCAGTTCAGTTGAACATAGTGAGTGTAAGCGAAATCTAGTGCGTAGAATATATATCCGATGTTCTTTATTTTGTTTAAATGTTAGTCAGTGAATCACCTAGGTACACTTGCAAGTGATGTCAGAGAAAATACATTCGAAATCAGCTGAAATACTAGTGCGGAGTTTTGAATAGTCTAGAAAAGTAAATATTATATTCTGCAATTCTGCTGTGGTTGACTTGACTTGAATATAATTTGTTTCAGGAATCTCCAGAATCTAAGGCTAATAAAGTGCAAAATGCACGGCCAACAGAAACAGTTGTCTTTAATTTGGTTCTAAGGCTAAGGTTAGTAGAAAAACAGTGTCTTTAAAGCTTTTAATAATGAGTGTTATTATTTGGTGCCTGTTTATTACATTTTATTATGGAATTGGAATAATCCTAGACGTTAATTGCAGAAACGCCCGTCGCGAATTGAATGATATTCGTTTTGAATTTATCACGGGAAAGGATACAGCGGAGGGGATTGCTTCGGAATTAGTCGGGGCAGGACTTGTGGACCCTCAGGACTCAGTTCCCATATCGGTGAATCTTGCCAAATTACTAGAAGCCCAAAAATCTTCCTTACAACCGCCATCAAAGACTGTCACATTCCATTTGGTATGTTTTATCCTATATTATAAAGGGTTTTTTGCTAATTGTAGAATAAATTCAATACACCTAGGTTTAACTAACTGCAACTAGCAACCCCTACATCAAGACGTCGAATCTAGTGTGTTTTTGTAATTTTTTAAGAAATGAAATAAAATACAAGTAGTTAAACGATTTTATTTCATTTATAAGGCAGCTGGTTAACTAGAATTAGCTTCAAAAAAAATCAGGCACTTAGGTGAAAAAATCATCAGCGCTGTTTGTTTGTTGTTTGTTACGAGGGTGGATTGAAAAGTACTCGGCCTAACACAGATCCATTCAATTCTAAAAATCAAATCTACCCACATTATTTAGTTCAGTTCGGACTAGTTCATTGTGTGAAGTTCGAAACGTGTGCGATAATTAGTTGTGATTTTATAAATTTATTAACAAAGTAATCGGACATAATTTCCGCGAATGGAGCAAATCGAGCAGCGTGCCGTCATTAAGTACCTCCATAAGAAGGGGCTATCATCAAAAGCCATCCATGATGACACGGTCAGTACATTAGGCGATTGTGCTCTGTCATATTCATCCGTCAAAAAATGGATAGCAGAATTTAAGCGTGGTAGAGTGTGAAAGATGAGCCCCGCTCTGGAAGGCCTTCGACGTCAACTACTGACGAAAATATTAAAAAAGTACTTGATTTAATAATGGGAGACCGCAGATTAAAAATTAGAGAGATAGCCGAGATTATAGGCATCTCTTATGAACGAACTCAAAACATCATTGTCAACGAGTTGGGTTTCCACAAGGTGTCTGCGAGGTGGGTTCCGCGACTGCTTTCAGTTGAACAAAAAAAGGACGCGATTGACTATTTCACGCGACTGTTTGGAGTTATTTGAAGAAATGCAGATGATTTTTTGAATCGTTTTGTTACTATGGACGAAACATGGGTTCATTACTGTACACCGGAAACAAAACAACAATCAAAACAGTGGAGAAGACCTGGTTCACCACCCCCTAAAAAGACTAATGCCCGAATACTCAAACGTCCCTCAAATATTTAACGGCTTCTCAAACATTTGAGTAGCTCCTAAACTCTATATTCGTATTCTCATAATTAAATTTTAAGCATCTCTTAAATTTAAGTGTGACTCAATTTGAGTTGTGCTTAAACCCTACTCAACTAAAAATTGGTATACAGAAACATCACTTAACGTGTTTTAGCTGTCAAATCAAACGTCAAATTGATTTAAGTACTCGTTATTATTAAGTGTGGTAGCGAGGACTCTCAAATCTATTAAAAGTGTTTTTTATGTGCTAAATATGTCTGTTTCGTCGTTATCTTCTCTTTCGGACAACGAAACGCCTTCAGGAAGTCAAAGAAATGATATCAAGCTTGACGCTTTCAATAAATATGACGACAAAGAATTTCGTGCGCGGTTCCGCGTTTCAAAAGGAACTGTGTTACATTAGGATTCTGTATTCGGTAGCAAGATAAAACCTTTGACAAAAAGAAATAGATCTTTGCAGTCCGTGGATCAAATATTGATAACACTTCGGTATTACGCTACAGGCAGTTATCAACTAGTTATAGGGGACATATTCCATATTGAGCAACCGTCTGTGCATCGAATCGTGCATAGGGTTACAGAACATATAGCAAGTATGAGATATCGTTATATAAGTATACCATCTGCTGAGGAACGTTTAGAAGTAGCAAATGACTTTTATGTGATTGCTGGATTTCCAAGAGTGATGGGTGCTATTGACTGTACGTACCTATTCTTATCATGAGCTATATTTTTACGTGTACATTGTCATATCATTAAAAAATTATAGCCACTCATTGTTATTAAATGTCTTTACAGGGGGAGCTCAATCTGAAAGTTTCCGAAATAGAAAAGGCTACTTCTCCTTGAATGTGCAAGTAGTATGTGATGCAAAATTGCGTATAAGAAATATCATTGCAAGATGGCCAGGCTCTGTACATGATAGTACAATTTTTAACGACTCACCATTATGTGCCCAACTAGAGCGAGGAGATTTTACCCCTATGGTACTTCTGGGCGATAGTGGTTATCCATGTCGCCCCTATCTGTTAACCCCAATTTTAAATGCAAGGACAGAAGCTGAAGAAGCATATAACCGTTCACAAATCAGGACCAGAAATCCAATAGAAAGGCTATTTGGTGTTCTTAAAAGAGTCTCCACAATGGGTTAGGACTGAAAACTACCAACATTCCACCTATTATTGTGGCATGTGCAGTACTCCACAACATTGCTATTTCAAGGCAGGATGATGTAATTGAGGACGAAATTCCTTTAGCTATCGTAGAGGAAGTTATGGTACAACCCAGCCTTGAAATAAATCAAAACTTTATAGTGAGGACGTCATTAATAAATACATATTTTTCTGGTTAATTTTCATTTTATTTTAATATCAATCTTTTACAAAATAACAAATAAAACAAAGATCGGTCAAAAGTTTGCTGTATCACAGTGTAGATTTATTGAAATATGGTAACTTATTAATTTTTATATGGTTAGTAGGTAAACAGTAATTAAAAAGCTTTTTTAGCCCACAGCTGAAATTTTTCGTGCCTCCTTCATGAGGATTTGTCTTGTCTGTCACATCACGATGCTCGGCAAGCAAGTTACTGATAAATGATCACTAATAATAACAGTCTTTAAATATATGAGTGTTTTGTACACCAAAATAATAAAAACATTTAAAAACAGCATGGAAGTTATCAGTCATTCTCAGGGGTTATTTTAACATTACACAATCTTTATGAATGTAATTCTTCTATGTGTTTATCACTGAACTCCTCCAAAACGAGTCCCTGGATGGTTCAAAATAATGTGGACATTCGTCTCTTTATTTTCTATTATATGTTGATATCTGAAATATGTAACACACGTTGAAATATGAACAACTCTTATAATATTTTATTCACAATGTCAAAAAGGGCGTTCTATTTAGTGTAGTTTGTTTCAATTGACGATTTAAGTATTTACTTACTTTTTTATCAATTCCAATAAAGTGTCTTTCTCAGACACTGTGTAATTGCATCCGCGTCTCTTCTTATTATCAATTGAAACGATAATTTGTAGTCAAATATGAATAATAAAATTACAATGATAATTTGTAGTTTACAAATGAACGAAACTGACACTGACAGCACGGCACAGGTCAGTAAAAGATTCTAGTTTCGTTCTAGGACGATAGACGGAGCGATTTTCACATAATTTTATACTTTGAAATGTACTTTTCATCCACTATATTTGTAAAAAATCACATAAATCACATTTAAAATTAAAGTATTGTTAGGAGATTATTGTTGAATATAATTTTAAAGTAAATCGAATATAAAATTATTTAAATATTTTCAGATGATGTTGCATAAAACGTATTTAAATTTAAATATCGTAAAATTGTCAAGAAGAACAAAGTTTTTTTATTAATGTTACCATGACGTAAACATTTGAGGGCTACTCAGCTAATCAAACCCTCAAATCACTTGAGTGATGTTTCTGTATTTCAGTTAAATTTGAGAGATGCTCAAATTTAGGGGACCTTTAATAAAGTGACAGATTTAAGTTGCGTTTCAGTATTCGGGCGTCAGTCGATTTTGTCGGCAAATAAGGTGATGGCTTCAGTATTCTGGGACTCGAAAGGTGTGATTATGATTGATTATCTTGAAAGGGGTCAGACTATAAACTCTGATTACTACTGCACCTTACTACGTCGTTTACGAGAGGAAATAAAAGAAAAACGTCGAGGAATGCTCAGAAGAAAAGTCCTGTTTCATCAAGATAACGCCCGTGTTCACACGTCAGTACAGTCAATGGCTGAAATTCACAACTGTGGCTTTGAACTGTTACCGCATCCGCCGTATTCACCTGATCTGGCACCATCAGACTTCTTTCTGTTCCCTAACCTAAAAAAGCACTTGGGAGGTCAAAGACTTTCGACAAACGATGAGGTCAAAGCAGCTGTAGACGCATATTTTGACTCTAAGGAAGAATCATTTTTTTTCAACGGTCTAAATGCTTGGAAGGGGAGGTGGCAAAAGTGTATTGAACTTGATGGTGATTATGTAGAAAAATAAAAATATAACTGATTTAATATGTGTTTATTTTCTTGGTTAGGCCGAGTACTTTTCAATCCACCCTCGTATTTGCTTTTTGTGGTGGACAGCTTTAGATTTTGTATGGATGGGTCGGCTCGAACCCGAGAAGTATCACAAACTCACAGAATACTTGCGTGAAGTTGTAACTTTGCTTCTGCTATTTGCTTGGTTAGTGCAGGTGGCTGGAGGTTTCACTTCGAAATCATCAATGATGAACATGATAATATGACGAACATTGTCGAAACGATAAGAGACTTACTAATTTCTATATAAAGAGATTGTCCCGACTATTAGCTTTATTGAAATAGTTATGACAAAATTGAATATTATATACCTGTGTGGATAAAGAATGGAATTAGAAATGGCGACTCATCTAGCCTGTTCTGTCACCACAGTAGCAAAAACAAAAGCAATGCTAATAATGTATTAATTAAAACATTAATTTTACTTGGAAAATTTATTTATTGGAAATAATTGATAAGTATATTAAATCAGTTGAATTTTGTAATAAAATTTAATTATTATCTAAATTTTAAATATTATAGGGAGACGGGAGGTAAATCAATTTACAAATAATTGGGTAATGTGAATCATTGAGACCGGTAAATTAAACAATACTCTAAAGTATATTGTTTGTGTTACGTTCTGTTTCTTGGACCGGAAGTTAAATGCGTAGATAGATAGGTAAAAACGTTTATTGCGACAAATTAATAACGTTATTTTTTATGATTTTTACCAGTTTCTGTGAGTATAGACAGAGACAGTGTGCGAGCGGGAGGTGAATAAAGGCGACGTCATTTATAATCCCGTTCTTTATTTATACGAAAAATAGGGATAAATATCTCTCCTATTAGAACATCTATTGGGGAGGCCTATGTTCAGCAATGAACTTTGGTAGGTCGAAATTGGGAGTGCTTGTTAGTATACCATAATATTATGTACGTGATGAAGTAGTCTGGGGCTCAAGTACCATCTAATTGATGGTTTGTGTCCTCACTTAAACTCGCTTAAATTATATTTTTTTTAAGTTTGTTTTTTATCATTTGAACTTATTGTATTTCAGAACTCTACGGGACCAAACGAGCAGTTCGATGATAAAACTCTAGTTGGTTTCGCGCAAATTTCGATCATAAACTAAAAGATCTGATTCTTACATTGCCATTAGAAACAGGAAAAGCGCCAGAACAACAAAACGCAAATTAAAGGAAAAAAGGAAATATCTTGGTAATAATTAATATCTTGGTCGGCCATGTTCTATTTAATTTGCATTTTTTTCATCGTCCGTCCCATTACGGCTACATTCTAATTATATCTCAGGCCGCGTGTACGACGAACACTTTTGTATCTATACAATTCTAAGTATTGATATTAAATTTATATCATTGTACATCTCAAAATTATGACTTAAGCTTTTATTTAAAAAAAATCATTTTGTTTAAGATACGTATCACAGTGCACTAAGTGCTTAGAAAATAATTTATATAACCAAAAAAAAGAAGAAATTGTGATAGAAATTATGTATTCTTACATCTTAAAACAGAAGGTTACGAAAAATTAAATGTTTTTTGAATATGGGAACGGAGCATAAGTATCATATATGTACTTAGGTCAGAAAGTAGCGGTCATATATATTGGATTCCGATTACATATAGTATTACCATACATATATTTACTACTATTGTAACATTATAAGTTATAACTTTTGCGTATATGTCGTAAGTGTGTAGATATTAAAAGTATCCGTGTATATGCGGCGTTACTGTTCGGGTTGTAAGCATTTAAAAGTGAAACCATTTTTACTTTCCAATATTTCGATTTTACATATTTTGTTGTAGAGGAGTGTTTCTATTTGTGTTTGTGTACCGGGACAATTTACTGTGGTATTTTATGTGATTGTTTCCCGAACAGTGATTTACTTTATAAAATTGGCCCATTTTGTGCTAATGAGACTGTACTTGGTTTGGAAATTATGGTGCTAGTTAGCTTGTGCAGGCTCAGTATTATTGCGGCCTTTATTGGACATTGCGTACTGCAGATCGGCATTGGTAAGAAGAGTGTAAAACTTGATGCTATTTACGATATGAGCTGTGTGAAATTTTATAGTCTGGTTAATTTATGTGTTGCCATTTGTCTGCTTGCATATCCACAATAAATGTACTGTTACATCTCTTTATCGATAAAACCGACAACAATGTTATAAACGTCGGTAGTGTTGCTATATAATATGAAATCCGACAGGCGATAATATACGAGGGTGACACTGAAAGTTCTTAGAAAATCAGAACCTGAACAAACTATCAAGTTATTAGTTGCATTATATCTTTTCAAAATAGTATCCATTTACATCAGTACATCGCTGCATCCGTCGGAACCACTGAGAAAAGCATTTTGCCCACTCATCCATAGGAGTCTCTTCGACGGCATTTTGAAATGCAGTTACTGCCTCCTCTGCGTCCATAAAACGTTTTCCTCGAAGTTTTTCTTTTATTTTCGAAAATAAATAAAAATCGAAAGGTTTGAGGTCGGCGCTATAGTGCGGGTGACCCAGTAATTCCACGTCTGACGTCGCCAAGTAGTAGATTGTTTGTTTGGCGGTGTGCGACGAGGCGTTGTCGTGATAAAGGAGGATCCCACTGCGAGTTCGTTTCTCTCGAATTTTTTCCTGATCCTGTAAAACAATTGTTGTTGACCTGTCGAATTGTAAACAAATGACAAATTAATAAAATTCCTATACAATAATATTGGCAAAGAGTTCCATTTTCAAAATTTGATCTTATTTTTTTATTATATCGTTTACAAGTGGCCAGTTCTAAACATTTTCAGTATCGCCCTCGTATGTTATATGTATATAAATAGTAAATGTCGACTGCTATAATATTACTATTCCATATTGTATTTACCATACTTTTCTTTACCTGCATTTTGTCATTTAAGATTCTTAAACGTTATTATATTTATCTATTGAAAAATAATATATAAGGTACAATCGTGTTGCCATTTTAGATAATTGCACTTGATTGGGGTACAAATAAATTCATGTATCTGTGTAATATATTACTTTAATGACATAAACATAATGTAAAGGAATTTTTGTCTAGGATATCTCACTTTGTTTCGGGGCTTTCACGATTTTAAGTTCTGCATATTAGATATTGCATAGTCAGTTTATGTCGTAAGCATTCTAAAGCATACGGATAACAGAAAAAAAAACAAAGTAGTTGACATTTGATTGAAGGATGTAATTGCATACTGCTGACAGATTTCATTTAATCGCAGTCACGAATTGTTTCCTCTTACGTATGCAAGGACCGAATTAGATATCATTAATCTATTAAAGACGTTAATATGTCAATTTCAATGAAATACTTGTCACACGTAATGTTTGTGAAATCTCAGTCATTGTAAGAGTGATGAATTTACATATCTAAAGCAGACGTGGCTAAAATATGGAATAATATATAATTCTTGGAGAGCCTTTGTATTATTCATGTAACATCAGTATCATCAGCTTGAGTGACGTGCTTTAATGAGTTTTATGTCACTGAATAATGCACTAATTGTCAAAGATAGTGGTGCTATTCACTGTCATGCAATTATATCTTTTAGTCTCTGTTTAATCGTTATCGGCCGCAACTCCCTGCACCGAGCCAAAGATCTTTAGTTAATAATATTTCGTAAGTAGTACCTAATATTTGTATATAATATACCTTTTTATTGCATGTGTAACTTGTTGATTGTTAAATTTGTGAATTTAGAGGGTATAACTTCATTGCTCTTAAGATCTTATTAAATGTATGATGAACCTCATTAAATTTTAATTACTTAAATCTTGGACTAGTCCAGAGATAGATCGAATTCATCAGAATTCATTTGATTTAAAACATTATTGTAATTTAAAACTTCGCTACATTCGTGCCTTAGCATTATTTTCTTTTTAATTTTTAACTTTGATCGCTCATAAAACAATTTAAAAATTATTATAAAATATATGAAATACATACGAAAATAGTAACGATTTTTATTAAAAGCATTTCTCTCAATTTTAAAAATGAATTGTAAAGTATTTAATTTATAGTGATAATAGTATGTTTATAACATATTAAACAAGTTTATCATTAATAAAGATGCACTTGAATGTGTTTTCTTTATTTTTTATATTTATGCGATCCATGTAATTTTTGGTCAGCAAAAATTAACATAATAATTAAGAACATAGAATGGTAGTACTTAGTTTGGTCAATTATCATTAGAACTATTTTGAGGGTATCACACTTGAGTGTAATAATTAAGCGATCCAGATAACTTTTAACAACGATTAATAAAATGAGTGATATAAGCAAATTGATCACGATTAGTACAGAAATATTCTCTTGGTAAGGGTTTTATTTCAATATTAGAAGTTATTAACTAGCTAGAGACAAAAAAATATTAAGTAAGCTAACCGATATTGGGTAATTAATATTGTTTTTATTTTCTTAATATGTATTGAAAAAGTAATTAAAATTGTATCTTTGGTTAAAATTGTTTTGGATTAGTAGAAAACATTTGGATTTTATGAGCGATCCTTAACAAATCGTCTGCATTTTACTATATTACGGTATATACACACCAAGGATTACTTCTGATGAATAATAGCGAGTTTTTAATAATTAACATCTAAAACGAACCATCATTTGATTACTTGACAATAATTAAATGTAGATAGCTTCTTCTATATTATACAACGTGAATGAAATAATTCATATCAGTGATGGTTTTGTATTTTTGCAATATTAATTTTGAAGAAAAAGCGATGAAGTCATAAGCATGGAAACTAAATATAAATATTTTCACAGATAGTCTTGGCAGTGACTGTTTGAAGGTTGGTTCAGTCATCGGAAATAAGTAGAAAAATATACTTTTATTTTCTGGGTATTACTTAAATAATTAACCAGCGGTCAGGTGGCTTGTATTTTTTCCAATTATTTTGAATGATTTTGAAATTTTTATTTATAGCAATATTGACATAAAACGTAAATGTATTTTTTAATTTGATGAAAAATGAATGAAAATTCAAGTCTGGCACCGTTATTCTTTACACAACTGTTTCCCAGACCACCCTCAAAACACTAGAATAGTTTGAGTGCGACATTAACGATTAAGATGAAAAATTAATATCTTTCATTTAATAACAGAGTGAATTATTCTGGAGAGGAAAATTATGATTATTTATACTGACTAAAAATACTTTGATGAAATAAATGACGACTGTACTTAATAAATTTAACTTGAAAATCAAACATTATTTACTCCCTTTTATTATATTAATAATTTTAATTTAAAATATCATGTATTGATCATACATTTTATGTATCAATTTAGCGAAAAAGAAATTAAAAAACGTTAGGCAAGTTACAAGCCACCAGATTTATTATTTAAATAATACCCAGAAAATAAAAAAGTAAAATTTTCTACTTATTTCGAATGATCAACCTTTTTCGACGGTCACCACTTAGGCTAAGAGGGCTTACTTTTGATATTGTTTTCGGAAACTGAGTTTAAAAGCTTACTCCCGAACCAATTAGAAAACATGATTAAGCGTCGCTAGGCACATCCGAATATTTCGTTTTCCAGAGATCATTTTGCAAAAAATTAAGTACTTCTTAAATATTAGATCATTTAGTACTGATAATTTCATTTGTATCACCGTTTCATTGTGCGCTAGGTACGATTTCAAGAATTCTAAATTTATATGAATGAATAAAATTAGATTGGTTTTTAATTCGATTCTTATCGGGAGTAGGCCGGCTGTTATACAGTGAGAAAACCGAGGTGTGTGTATACCTTTTGTATTAACCATTTAAGCTTTTAGATAGAATGCTATATTATAAAAGGCTGGCCTAACAATGTGTAAGTAGTATATTAAGAAATGATACGAAATCAGGGTTTCTTTTTTACTTTCGCCATTGGAGCTGTGCTCTCCAACATACATATAAAACTTATTGTAATCTAATTTAACTGTCCTTATAGGTATATATACTAATATAAGTATATTTTTATAGATATCTAGAATACAATCTTACTACCACTGGCGGTCATTAGGGTCGTCGTTACTAAACATACTCTACTTAATTAACAAAATTGAACCTTGTAGCACGC